ATTGTAAATTACCTCACATGTCCTTCAACCATAGGAGGTTCTAAAAAATCTGCAAACTCATTTAGGTTTTAATGGATTTGTTGCTGGTCAAAATGTGGAGGAGGAGGAGGAGATTGGATTTATACCCCGCCCTTCACCACCCAAAGGAGTCTCAGAGAGGCTTACAAACTCCTTTCCCTTCCCCTCCCCACAACAGACACCCTGTGAGCAACGTTCCCTCTAAGCTGTGGAGTCTTGTGAGCAAAAATTCTACTTTGTGAGCTGCTGGCATTAAAGTTGTGAGCGAGCGATTGGGCCCTTGCATAAATTAGTTTGCACTGGAGCCCTCCTTCCTAAGCGGAGACAAAAATCTGTGAGCCGGAGGCCACAAAACCGTGAGCTAGCTCACACTAACTCAGCTTAGAGGGAACACTGCCTGTGAGGTAGGTGGGGCTCAGAGAGCTCTGACAGAAACTGCTCTTTTTTTTCAAGAACAGCTCTTATCAGAGCTACGGCTTGCCCAAGGACATCCAGCCAGGTGCAAGTGGAGGACAGGGGAATCAAACCCGGTTCTCCCAGATTAGAGTCCATGCACCTAACCACTACACCAAACTGGCTCTCTGTGGATGGTCCATCAGCTTCTTTTTTTAAAAATGGCTGGCAGTGCTACACACATATTATATTTAACAGATGAGATTTTAATTCAGATCTTTTTAACACTTCCTTTGGGCAGTTGACTTCCTGACTGCATGTTTAAATTTTTAAAAAATGTTCTAAGGGGCCCTGAGATTTTTAAGAGCCGAGTTGAGGCGGAGGGCTTATCTCGTTGTAAACATAAACTGCGTTTTACAAGGAAGGGAGGGATAGAGCAAAAAAAAACAACACCTCTCTGCAAAAAAAAAAAAAGGAAGAAAGAAAGAAAAGAAAAAAAGCCGCTCACGCAGTATGTCTAACCAAAGTGGAAGCAGGAAATACCACAAATATCATGTCATGAGAAAGCCTGCGCACCCAGAATCTTAAGGTAGTCCAGAGAACCCAACAGATCCTAGGATATAAACTTAAACCAAAAGTCAGAACGGCGGAAGCCAGATTCACATTAGCTGACGTCTCATTGGGGTTCAGGGTTCTGCAACTTCTTGAAACTGATCTGAACTCGCAGGGACTCTCCAAGGTCATCCCTGGTGCTGTGTTTCCTCTCTTGTTTTTTATGGAAAAGAACACAGCCTTCTCTTGAATGACTTTCATTACAGGCTCCTAAACATACCTTTGACATGT